ATTGAGCTGCACTTAAAGTGACCATGATTGATGTGTGTGAGTGTTTTCGGCTTGGATGTGACCATTGCTTTGAAGCAAGAGGTTGCAACTTTAAAAAAAGAACAAAAAAACAGCTGCTGTGGGTGCCAGAATTAAAAATATGGTAGAAACTATAAAAGAAATGTGTACATTTTACAGTAAACTACTATATTAATTAATTTATTGTTAATGCACTAATGTTTTGAAGTACACCCTTAATAAAATGTAAGGTTCCACACAATTTATATAATTGATTAATGGGGTATATGCCGAAGCATGCTAATAGGACTTTTAATTTGCCAGTAACCTGGGTTAAGCGCTTCCGGCGAATTGAATGCCAATGCAAAATCCGGTGCGTTTAAGGTCTGTTTTCTTTAAAAATGAGCGATCTCCACTAGCTGAGTGATATCCAATTTAAAGTGGGTCTCAGATTGTACAAGAAGCACTGCATTAAATTACATTTCCCCCGCCATATCTTTATAATATGAGCATTTATTTTACCCCAGTATATTCAATTCAGCTTTATTTGTATAGTGCTTTTACAATGTAGATTGTGTCAAAGCAGCTTCACATAAATGGTCATAGTAACTGGAACAGTGTTGTTCAGTTTTTAGTGTTTAAGTTCAGTTCAGTTCAGTTTAGCTCAGTTCAGTGTGATTTAATCATTACTGAGAGTTAAAACACTGAAGAGCAATTTCATCGATGCGTAGCTCTACCAATCCTGAACCATGCGAGCCAGTGGCGACAGCGGAGAGGGAAAAAAAACTTCACCTGATGGGAGTGAAGAAAAAAAACCTTGAGAGAACCAGACTCAGTTGGGCACGACCATTTTAATTTCTCCGCTGGCCAAAGGTCTTGTGCAGAGCTTCAGTCACGGCGGTGGAGGCTGGAAGATGGCCTCAGCAAAGACAAACAGATAGGTCTTTAATCTAGTTTTGAACTGGGAGAGTGTGTCTGAGACTCGAACGTTATCAGAAAGGCTAGTCCAGAGTGTAGGAGCCATGAAAGAGAAGGCTCGACCTCCTTTACTTGATTTTGCTATTCTAGGTACTACCAGAAGCCCTGAATTTTGAGATCTTATATTCTGACGGGCGCGTGCGAGTAAACAGCTTTTTTATCTCGTTTTATGCTTGAGCAACCAAATAAATGCTAAAGTTTATTTAACTGAATGTATTTTAATGACATTACAACATCGATGCTGTAAAAGGAACCGTATAAAATGGAAAAAAGTTCACAATAACAGGTCACCGGAAGTGTATCAGCATGGGAACAGCACTAGCTCGGCATATAGCCTATTTAGCTTAACAACTTTAAGTGGTGTGGCGAAGCAGTGGCGCAGTAGGTAGTGCTGTTGCTTCACAGCAAGAAGGTCGCTGGGTCACTGGTTCGAGGCTCAGCTTAGTTGACGTTTCTGTGTGGAGTTTGCATGTTCTCTCTGCGTTCTCTGCGTCTTCTGGGTGCTCCGGTTTCCCCCACAGTCCAAAGACATGTGATACAGGTAAATTTGTTGGGCTAAATTGTCCGTAGTGTGTGTGTGTGTGAATGTTTCTCAGAGATGGGTTGCGGCTGGAAGGGTATCTGCTGCGTAAAAACTTGCTGGTTAAGTTGGGGGTTCATTCCGCTGTGGCGACCCCGGATTAATAAAGGGACTAAGCCGACAAGAAAATGAATGAATGAATGTTTCTTATATTGGGTGGCACAATAGCTCGGTAGTTAGTTCATTGTTCACAGCAAGAAGGTTGCTGGTTCAAGTTCGGCTGGGTCAGTTGGCATTTCTGTGTGGAGTTTGTGTGTTTTCCTCATGTTGGCGTGGGTTTCCTTTGCGTGCTTCAGTTACCTCTACAGTCCAAAGACATGCGGTGTAGTGAATTGGGTAAACAAAACAATTGGCCGTAGTGTATGTGTGTATATGTGAATGTTAGAGTATATGGATGTTTTCCAGTTCTGGGTTGTGGCTGGAAAGGCATCCGCTGCGTAAAATGTATGCCGTAATAGTTGTCGGTTGGCGGTTAACCCCTGATAAATAAGGCACTACTTAGCTGGAGGAATTAATGAAAGAATGTATCTGATATTGAATTGGCACGTGCAGATGTTTAGTAATCCGGTCTTTTACACACTTAAAATGGTGAAAACACCTTGTTCTTTCAAAGATTACACCATTATGCTTTTGTCTCATACATATTTTACAATATAAGCACAATAGCAACATCTTTATGTAATTGCTTGCTGTTTCACCTAATAATTGCATTTGAACCACATTGCTATGACTCAGCATTTATGCAGCTGTTTTGCAACAGGATCCTGCCATGAAAATGCTAGTAAAATGTTTCTCAGCTTGTTTACTGATTTGTGACGCTCCAGTTTGTGCTTTTGCCTCAGCGTGTTGCTTTAAGAAGTCCTTCTGTACTTTACAAATGCCTCATGGAAAATTTGCTTGCTCATAATTTCCATTTACTGATGACAACGCTATTTTGGAGCATTATAGTGGAGTCATTTCGGACTCATACTCATACTAAGCCTTTGGGCATTTAAAGTCTCTCAGGTTTCTAAACAGAGTCTTGCATAATAAACTATTTTTTATAATTGGTGAATTTATAATTAGCCATTTAAGTTGGTCATCTGTTAATGGCTTAATAGACATGTTGGGTATTTTATAGCCAAGCAATTTATGGGCAAACATTGACTATATTTAGTTACTAATGTAATAAAGCTGTTTCGTTTAAGTGTTTAAAATTTTCTCCAACCATTTTTTTATTGCTACTTGAATTATTGAACTTAAAACTGAGAAAAATCGCATAAAATATACACAATGTTATATGAAAATATTTAGATTTTAAGGTGGCTGAAAAGTGTCTGGAATTTTGCACAAATAAAAAAAAATCATTTTCATCTTGTAAAAAAACATTTTGGTTTATGAAAATGTCAGTCACTTAAAACAGTGGTTGTCAAAGTGGGGGTTAAGAAACGATGAGGGGGGTCGCTTGGTGATTTCTAAAAATCTCACATATGTTATTAAACTATAAGAATGACCATATTTTATCCATACCCTACACTGAAAAAAAATATTCAAGGATGAGTCCTTGGATTTACTGCATTTTATTACGTTAAGAGGTTGTAAACTATTTATTTGTGTTGAATTTAAGCAAACAAATAAAGTTTGATAATGTTCAACTTAATTTGTTAGTTTTAATTCAGCCCAAATAAATAGTTTACAACCTTTTAACATAATAAAATGCAGTAAATCCAAGAAATCTTCTTTGAATAATTTTTTTCAGTGTACAAAAGATAAAAAGATAGTTTTTAACTTATAATATTTAAGTACTTAATATTTAATAGTTACATAGAAACAACATGCAAATAATGAGCCATCAGCCTTTCCATTTTTTTCCATTGGATTGCGACCCCTGTGGTTATTATGCTATATTAACGACACAGCAATATCGTTAGTTGCAGAAGATTGATTTTACGGCACAATGTTTAACTTTGACACCTTTATGGCTCTCACATACATTAGAAATAAAGCCCACGACTGAACATGGAGGATAATCTCCAAGCGGCGATCTCCAAAATTAAGCCAAGATAGTCTTATGCTGTAAACATTGTGCCCACCATTCTCATTAAGAAAGGTTAATATTAAATTAAACAAATGAATAATGACTATAAATATTATACAGTTGTTAAACTGTTGCACTTTTTTGTGTTGTTAATATGCTTGTGTTTATATAGTTCATGTTGGTGTGTGTGTGTGTGCATTATTTGTATGTTTATAACCACCTCTGAGCATAGTAGAGGAAGCAAGTCTATGCAGTTGTTATTTTAGGGGCCGCGGACTAAAAAGTTTTAGAATCCCTGATTTAAAATATGAACCATTTCATTTATAATTACGTACAGTTGAAGACTAATCTATCTATCTATCTATTAGGGGTGTCACGATTTCGATTTTTTTTATCGAAATCGATCGAAATTTAGGCTCAATTTCGATTATCGAATCAAAAAATAGAATCGTCGATGCTGCCACGCCCCCATGTCACATCAGCTTGGCTTGCCAAGCGGGAAAAAAACAGGCTTGTTGAAGTGCTTGTTAAACTGCAGAAGCAGGAGACCCGTCGACAGAACTTAAACCCTCCCCTCTTTCAATGAAGTCGCCGGTGTGGAAGCATTTTGGATTTCCAGTGAGTTATGTTGACAACGTTTGTGTTGTCGACAAAAAAAACACAGTTTTGCAAGCTCTGCTATGTACGTATTACGTACGGTTCGTCCGATAGACAACACCGGCATTGCGATCCTCCGCCCGCCCTCGTTGCAAATTCGCTCGCGAAAAGTACACACTCAGGCCCTGTTTACACTCTCTTTGTTTTTAAATGGCATTTTAGAACGACAACGATTTGACATCCACAGTGGCGTGTAGCATTTCTGAGCAGCCCTCCTTCCTCTCTACCTCTGAAAATGCACATCACGTGACCACACAGACACAGACGCACACACAGCCATGCGCTCGAGACAGCAGGTCCAGGCAGTCAGAGGACTGCTTCAATCTTTCACTCACTTGTACTTAGTCATTTTAGCGAACACCTCAGATACTGTTGGCTGGTTCCTGTTGGTTGTGCGTCTTTTTTACCGACGCCATTATAACGACACAGATCACTGCCTACTCACGAGTCCCGCAGAAAAAAGTGATTGACAGGTGGTAATTATGTGTGTATCTTGCCTTTATTCATTTACTGTATGATTTATGTATGGGTAAAACAAAGACCATGCAGGTCAGGTAGTTTAAACGGTAGGCTACAAATAATTAATTGGTCATTAATTAATTCATTATTCATAATCAAAAATCAAATCGAATCGTGCCTTTAGAATCGAAAATGTAATCGAATCGAGGATTTGAAGGATCATGACACCGTTACTATCTATCTATCCATCTATCCATCCATCCATCCACCCATCCATCCATCGTTCTAACTTTTTACCATGTGATTCCACAGGTGACGTTGGAGAAAGTTCTAGGAATCACTTCTGCTGGGAGTCGTGCTTTGGCGTGTGACCCGCACTCAGGACTAATTGCCTACCCTGCCGGGTGAGTAACTCAACTTCAATCCTTTTTAGCATTCTTTTATGAGGCACAAGCTTTAAATAACCTGCAGGATCCAGCTAATGAAATTATGCCTTTTGAGGCTGAGTCAGATCTCACCTCGCAGACTCGCATATTGTAGAACATTTCTAAAAACAGAGCCTTTAGTGCGTCTTGTGAATTTGGTCATTCAGAAAGAAACAATGGAAGTATTTCCTATTGGCGAACTTGAGAAAGAAACCACAGAGAGGAAAGGGGGAGAGAGATAACGGTCTGATAACAAGCGAGGGATCCTGGAGGAAGTTAGGTGTGGTGCAAACAGGAAGTGCTGGATCTGAAAAAGGATTTTGAGTGTGTTCTTTTTGAGATGCAATGTATTATATTGGAGAAAAAGTTCAAAACTCAACATATAAGGGCTTCGTTTTCTGTCTAAAGCACAAATGCAGCTTGATTTAGAGACTTTCACCATCTAAATGGACTGAAGTAGGGCACTACTAAGAATAAAAACTGCTTGGGCTCTTTTTTTTTTATCTCTGGAAATGTGCACCTGGCCTAGGGATTTACATCTGCATTACTCTACTCACCTTAAGTTGTTATTTTTTCACAGATTTGTACTGTAGTAGACAAATCTTTTTATTGAACTTTTAACAGAGCAACTCAAGCATATACAAGAACAAGGTACATAAAAAAAGAAAACAAATACAAGGTGAAATAATATTAATTAAAAAGAGAAAGGTAAAAAGGCACGAAAAAAATAAAAAAATAAAAATAAATAAAAATTTGGGGGGGGGAGCTTACATTTCAAGTATTTGGGATAAATCTGTTCTCAAAATATGACAGGAAGGGTCTCCAAACTTTGAAGAATCTATTATTTGAGCCCTGGGTGCTATATTTAAGTTTTTCAAGCTTTAGATACGCCATGACATTTTCTACCCATTTAGTATGTGTTGGTGGTTTAGTTGACTTCCACTACAGATTTGTACTGTAATTGTATTATTTGCTGTGCTTTGGAAACTGTATATGAACGAGGCTGATCAATTCAATTCAATTCAATTCAGCTTTATTTGTATAGCGCTTTTACAATGTAGATTGTGTCAAAGCAGCTTCACATAAATGGTCATAGTAACTGGAACAGTGTGGTTCAGGTTTTAGTGTTTAAGTTCAGTTCAGTTCAGTTTAGCTCAGTTCAGTGTGATTTAATCATTACTGAGAGTTCAATCACTGAAGAGCAAATTCATCGATGCGTAGCTCTACCAATCCTGAACCATGCGAGGCAGTGGCGACAGCGGACAGGGAAAAAAAACTTCACCTGATGGGAGTGAAGAAAAAAAACCTTGAGAGAACCAGACTTAGTTGTGCACGACCATTTTAATTTCTCCGCTGGCCAAAAGTCTTGTGCAGAACTTCATTCGCCGTGGTTTATGCTGGAAGATGGCCTCAATGAAGACTCGTCTGTCCCTGGAGCGTCGCTGGAATCAGACACATGTTCTCCACTCCCCACGACCATCAGCGCAGCAGCAGCTCAGGATATGGCCTGGTCCCGGATATGGAATCCTTGGGATCATCACGTCGCTGGTCTTGGATCCAATCAGTGACTCCGCCTAATCTGAGGACCTCGGGATGAGTATCCCCAGGTGAAAATAGAGAATAAAGAGAATAATTAGCGTAGCTGCTGTTCATAGTGTATATAAGCAAGATGTAGAAGCCAGTGTGGAACCCGCTAGGTGATGCATTGAGTGTATGCTTTACTAAACAGATAGGTCTTTAATCTAGTTTTAAACTGGGAGAGTGTGTCTGAGCCTCGGACATTACCAGGAAGGCTATTCCAGAGTGTAGGAGCCATGAAAGAGAAGGCTCGACCTCCTTTACTTGATTTTGCTATTCTAGGTACTACCAGAAGCCCTGAATTTTGAGATCTTAAAGAGCGAGTTGGTTCGTAGCGAGACAGAAGGTTGGTTAGATAAACAGGAGCTAGATTATTTAGAGCTTTATAGGTGAGAAGTAATATTTTAAATTCAATACGAAATTTAACAGGCAGCCAGTGTAAGGAGGATAAAATTGGGGTTATATGATCATATTTTCTAGACCTGGTCAGAACTCTGGCTGCTGCATTTTGTACTAATTGAAGTTTGTTAATAGAGGATGCTGGGCAGCCAGCAAATAGAGCATTACAGTAATCCAGCCTCGAAGTCATAAAAGCATAGACTAGCTTTTCTGCATCTGAGATGGATAGCATATTTCGTAATTTAGCGATATTTCTCAGATGAAAGAAGGCAGTTTTTGTGACATGGGATATATGGTTTTTAAAAGTTAGATTGCTGTCTAATATGACACCCAAATCTTTTATAGTAGAGCTAAAGCTAACTTTGTATCCCTCTAATTGTAAATTGAGTTGCGAGATCTGCTGTGTGCAAGATTTAGGCCCAATAAGTAATAATTCTGTTTTGTCTGAGTTTAAGAGAAGAAAATTGTTGGTCATCCAGTCTTTGATGTCTTTGATACACTCAGTTAGTTTAGAAAGTTCAGACGTCTCGTCAGGTTTAGTGGAAATATATAATTGAGTATCATCTGCATAGCAGTGAAAGCTGATCCCATGTCTTCTAATAATGTCTCCCAGAGGTAGCATGTAAATTGTAAACAGTAAAGGGCCTAAAACTGATCCTTGAGGCACCCCATACTTTACTGGGCTGACTTGTGAAGGCTGTCCATTAAGATTCACAAACTGGTAGCGGTCAGTTAAGTATGACTTAAACCATTGTAGAGCCTGTCCCTGGACACCTGTAGACTTTAAGCGATTTATGAGGATATTGTGGTCAATGGTATCAAATGCCGCACTAAGATCGAGTAACACTAATAGCGAGACGCACCCTCGGTCAGCAGCTAAGAGTAAATCGTTGGTTATTTTCACTAAGGCGGTTTCTGTACTGTAGTGAGCCCTGAAACCTGACTAAAACACTTCAAAAATATTGTTCGTCTGCAGATAAGAGCATAATTGAGTGGAAACAACTTTTTCTAGTATTTTAGATTAGAGTATTTAGAGTATTTTTTGATCATTAAAAATTATTCGCCCTCCTGTGAATTTGTTCAAATGTTTCCTAAATGATGTTTAACAGAGCAAGGAATTCACTGTATTATTTCCTATAATATGTTTTCTTCTGGAGAAAGTCTAATTTGTTTTATTTCAGCTAGAATAAAAGCAGTTTTTAATTTTTCTAAACCATTTTGGGGTCAATATTATTAGCCCTCTTAAACTGTTATACAATAACTTGCCTAATTACCCTAACTTGCCTAATTAACCTAGTTAAGCCTTTAAATATCACTTTAAGCTGAATACTTGTATCTCGAAAAAGATCTAGTATAATATTATGAACTGTCATCATGGCAAAGATAAAAGAAATCTGGGGGGTTATTAATTCTGAATTCAACTGTACATTAAATGGAACGGATTATAGCTGCAAATCTTTACTATAGTTATAGTCAGTGGTATTTCAGCAATGTATATCAAGGAGAAACACTTTCTGTTACTAATCATCACATGATGCTTGTAATCTGATTAAACAGTTAAGCATTTGCGCTCTGGACTCAGTTCTTAGTTGCCATACCATGTTGTCCTCCTACAAAGGAGGAGAGATTTGGAGATTTGGAGTGATCAAAGAATGCACTGTACTGAACAGGCATACAGTAAAAGATTGGGGTCAGTACAAAGACATTAATATTCATATTAAACAATGATACATCAAATTATTCAATAGTGACTGCTGATCTGGAGAGATTTTGAATATATAGTTGAAGCAAATTATTAGCCCTTGATGAGAATTTTGTTTTCTTTTTCAAAATTTTTCCAAATGATGTTTAACAGAGCAATACATTTTTTTTTACAGTATTTCCTATAATATTTTTTTTTCTGGGGGAAAGTATTATTTGTTTTGTTTTGGCTAGAATAAAAGCAGTTTTATTTTTTTTAGGTCAATATTATTAGTCCCCTTAAGCAATATTTTTTTTCGATTGTCTACAGAACATACCATTAGTATTTTCAATTCAATTCAATTCAGCTTTATTTGTATAGCGCTTTTACAATGTAGATTGTGTCAAAGCAGCTTCACATAAATGGTCATAGTAACTGGAACAGTGTGGTTCAGGTTTTAGTGTTTAAGTTCAGTTCAGTTTAGCTCAGTTCAGTGTGATTTAATCATTACTGAGAGTTCAAACACTGAAGAGCAAATTCATCGATGCGTAGCTCTACCAATCCTGAACCATGCGAGGCAGTGGCAACAGCGGAGAGGGAAAAAAAACTTCACCTGATGGGAGTGAAGAAAAAAAACCTTGAGAGAACCAGACTCAGTTGGGCACGACCATTTTAATTTCTCCGCTGGCCAAAAGTCTTGTGCAGAGCTTCAGTCGCCGTGGTGGAGGCTGGAAGATGGCCTCAATGAAGACTCGTCTGTCCCTGGAGCGTCGCTGGAAGGACTTGCCTAATTACCCTAAGTTTAACCTAATTAACCTAGTTAAGCCTTTAAATGTCACTTTAAGCTGAATACTAGTATCTTGAAAAATATCTAATAAAATATTAAATATCTAGTAAAATATAAAATATGTACTGTCATAATGGCAAAGATCAAAAAAATCAGTTATTAGAAATGAGTTATTAAAAGTAGTGTTTAGAAATGTGTTGAAAAAAATCTGCTCTCCGTTAAACAGGAAAAACTGAGAAAATACAGAACATACATATATATTTAGCAAGGATGCATTAAACCAATCAAATATGACCACTCACTCAAAAATAAAAATTCTGTCATTTATTTTTCACCCTCATGTTGTTCCAATACCCTGAGACCTTCATTCATCTAAATTAAATCTGTGAGCTCCCTTATCCTCCATCCCTTTGTTCAATGTCTATAAAATAGTATAACCATCGCTGAAGTGACAGGAGATTAGCAGGGAACCAGAAACTGATGGTTGTTTTCTTTGCAGCTGTTAATCCTGAGAAAAATGTTAGTTTTTGATTA